TTTTATGCATATTGCCTTTAGGCTTTTAAGATAAGTTTTTCCTTTTATAATTAGATTTACTTATTAATATTTTAAATACGTAGCATTGTAAATATTGTAAATACATATATATAATTTATGCATGTATTCCTGTTGTAAAGCGCCTTGGACATGCTCATGGATATGAGCGCTATATAAATAAACTTTATTATTGTGCCTTGGTTACATATGATGACGTCACTGCTACGTTACAAGCAACACGTGACGATTTTAATTATGACGTCAAACACTTCAATTTTGCTATCAGCAATCTGCAATATCCATTTGATGTTCACAAGTTGGTAAGCAATAGATCTCTCTACCTTGGGCGTAACGTTTTCCATTTTCAGGCATAGTGTAATTTCCTAGAGTATCACTTCTTTGTTTAACGGTGGAGCATGAGAAGACACGAATGCATGGATAAAACAAAGAATCTTGTTTTCAAGAGAATGGCACACTAAAATGGGAAAACATTACGTACCCCAAAAGTTAAATTGGTCTATTATCTAATACAACCTAACCATCTCTCCAACCTCCAGCAAACAAAGAATTCTTCAAGGTTCGACTACGCCCTTCATGTCGCATCTTCAAGATTATTCAACAGACTTCCAGGAATCCCAAGAGTTCTCGTACTCTTGGCGACAGGAATTCAAACACACATTCCACACTTAAAGTCTCTACTAAAATCCCTGGAGAACAAGTCTGTTTATTCATTAGTAATAAGTGGACTAGGAGCCGATGCCCAGCAATTGAGAGCATTTGTTAAGAACGATGAAGATGTGGTCGAGTTTGAGAAGCTAGAGAAGATTGCAGAGTCTAACATCACAAAGAAAATGTGCGTTCATTCAGGTTAGTTTTCATGGTGATGGCCAACGTTTCCACTGAAGTCACGAGAAACGTTATGGTACGAGTCGTGTCCGGCCATTTTGATTACATAAAGAGTGATCTCGCGCGCTTTGATTGGTTCGTTAGTAAAGGCTAAACCATATTTCTTATTGTAACATCAACGTACGAGTTTAGTCATGATAACTTCCACAAATCTAGTTGTCATGGAGACTTGGACATAAAATAGGTTGTCGTGTAGTTGATGGTTGTTGTGGAGACGTCTATGCTTATATCAGTTTTTCATCAAAATTATTTGAATGATATTACTTTTACTCTCTTGCTCATCATGTCTTCTCCATTTATTCTCATTTTACACAACTCACATTTTAAATTTCTAAATTGTTTTTTTTTTCACAGCTCCAGAGAAATGCATTCACAGAACAGACGTCCTCTTCTTGATTCAGACACGCAAAGATTTTCAAAACCTAAATAACAAGCATCTTATGAACTTTGTTAACTCCATGGCAAATGCTCTTAATGTGGGTACTTCTGGTTCTCGTGCTGCTGTCATACAAGTAACGCAAACATCTGAGATTCTAATAGGTTTTAATGAAACCTCGACACTCCAAGGCTTTGTTGCCACTGTTCGGCACAAGCTACACCAGCATAAAAGAATTCTCTACAATCCGTATGGAACCAGTAGAATCAACAAGGCTGTGTAGAATTATCCAGTCAACTATTTGCTGATCATTGTACAAGGAATGACTTCCCTAGGGTTGTATTATATGTCACAGATCAACGACACTCTACCCATGTTTATATAGGCAAATGTCCTATCAAGCAATCAAAGCGCTGCAGCAAATGAACGCTAAAGTATTTACTGTTGCTGTTGGAGGATCAAAAAGACTAGAGAACATAGATTTACCATTGAGTCAGCGTGTAATAACGTGTACTGGTTTCATGACTTACTGATGCTCACCAAGGACTTGATGAAGATGGTCTGCACAAGTTTAGGTACATGATGGACTTTTAATATAAATCCTATTGTTACAGGGACCCCGGAGCTAGGAGGACTGGGGGATATAGCCCCTCCAAAGTGTTCCCCTCCTTACAATATATATTGTCTCAGCAATAGTCCTCTTCATAGTTCCCCGCGCAATCTCGAAAGGTAGCCGTGCCTTTCCATCGAAGCGAGACGAGTGGTGAACTTACAATGATAGAGACGTGATAGAGACTGTTCGATGCAAAGGCACTGCTAGCTTTCGAGGTGCCGCAAGGAACTGTGGAACGGTAGTAATTTCGGAAATATTAGCCACTCAATCCGAAGTCACTTCATGGTGACTGTCTTAACAGACCCAATAGACCTTGCGCACCATCCAATGATTCAATAAACTTTTAACCGGCGTACAGGCCACGAAGCGAGAACTGAAATTTTGTGTTGTTATGTGTGTGTCTATGCTAGTTCCRACAACGGAACCAGCATGCATGCACTGGTCAAGTTGAGCTTGGGATTTAAAAATAAAGGTGGATTTAATTCATAAAACAAGAGTTCCGAGTTGAGTCTAATAATATGTCTTGCTTAATCAGATTATGATTTCCTTTAATTAGCGTTTTTGCCTATTTTCGTAGCTCCATATCATTGTAACAAACCAGTTGACATAATCTTCATTGCCCAAACACCATCCTCGTTACATATGTCCCTGATGACGAAGCAGTTCATGAAGGATGTGTCCTCTTCATTCATCATTTCCAGTGTTCATGCACGGTTCGGAGTCATAACGTATGGACAGTCGACTTATTTCCGAATAAAACCCAACCAAGTCCAGACAAATGAAGATTTTATTAAAGCCATAGAGAAGTAAGTTCTCCTCCAGCTTTCGTCTGTAATGAGCTACAATTCTTTCTTTTCAAACGTTTGCTTGCTTGCTTGCTTGCTTGCTTGCTTGCTTGCTTGCTTGCTTGCTTGCTTGCTTGCTTNGCTTGCTTGCTTGCTTGCTTGCTTGCTTGCTTGCTTGCTTGCTTGCTTGCTTGCTTGCTTGCTTGCTTGCTCATCTCGTTTTTTAACAGGATTATTTTTTTAGGTTGTTATAGTACTGGTTGGTGATAAGCTGTCCGGTTCAGTGGATACCCTATCAATATCAGCCAAACCTTTCCATGAACGAGGGATCCATGTCCTAGCGATAGGGAAAACAAGATTAGTTAGTAATTAAGATCTCCTGCCACTCGTTCTATCGACACAGGATGTAACACTGGTGGATTCGTTTGAAACTGTCCTGACGCATAGTGATAAAATAGCAAGCTCTGTTTGTCAAATCATAAGTAAGTTTTCGTACAAAACTGAAATTGTCCTTGTTTTACGAGGGTAAACAACAATCAGTAGATACCATGACCCCCATTACCATGACCTCCATACCATGCCCTCCCATAACCATGACCCCGATAACCTTGACCCCCGTAACCATGACCTCCCTAATATGAATCTGAATTTAAAACAAGAACTTACGACTTGTATAATGAAATGGTTAAGATATGTTCGATGCCACACAAAGTTATCATGATACGTACGGCAAGCATTCCTACTCACATGTGATGGCAGGTCCAGGGATAGATGACTACAGTGTTGTGGCGCAGCGTATTATTTGCAACACATACTCGTGCTTCCTGTCATATTATTTATCCTCCTACTTAGCTTAGTTTATTGAAGAATCGCATCAACCCTGTCATTATTATTTTTCTAGAATATCTACATATGACTTGCTCAAATTCATTGCTGCGAGGACATCGTAGAGCAGTTTTCTTTTATATATGACTGTGAAAAACTCACGGTATGGAAGTACCGCTTCATGAGAGCGTCGCGTCTCAGCATTTTTGTATTGATTGAGCAACCCACTCCATTAAATGTTTTTGCCTTCCAACCATCTATTTAGTTTTGATTTACTTTTGAATTGTCAAACAAAGAACCTAAGATGTGCTCTGAATTCATAGATATTGCAGTTCTAATGGACGCCTCGGGAAGTGTTGGCGAGGAAAACTTCGAAAGAGAAAAGCAGTTTGTCAGTTCGTTGGCACGTTCGCTTAGTATTGAGGAGGGCGATGCACACCTTGCTGTGGTTAGTTATAGCAATTCAGCTCAGGTAAGATATCAACCGAAAACTGAACTCCCTCAAATTTACTATAGATAGCAGAACGTTACAAATACAGAAGAACTCCATCCACATATAAGCCATTGAGAGAATCGTTTAGCCCGGGCAAAGTCCCGACAATTCTTGGCAAAATTAATGTATCAAAACTTGAATTTTAATCTATCAGGGAGAGGCGTTTCCCCCTCGTTTCGCCCCAAATTTCTTCCGAATTCCGCCCTCCTCGCCTACCCAAAACAATAGATTATAATTTAAACAACGGATGATCCTTGTTCTTACTGTACTTATTAAAATCCTGATTTGACGAAGTTTTCTAAAATAAACCTCATAAGTTACGAACCCTTTAAAATCAAACCAGGTTGATAAACTGTAGCTTTACATCTTTACTAAATATACAAGGTTAAGTGCAAAAACAGACCTTTTTGATCATGGGAAATAAGGAGGAATGTTATGCGAAATACCTTTGCTCGCTCCTTTGCAAGGTGTTTTTTATAATTACCTACAGTTGGTAGAAACCAATCCAAAAACATTGCATGAGAATCTGATTAAGATATTTATGCAATGCTCATCTCGATGGCTGGATTGCGTGGATGAAGTTCTTTGACGCGAGGAATGCTTTAAATTTTGTTCTAGAACAATTTTTCGTAGTTGCTTGAAGACGTTTCTCGCACATGTTAGTACGAGAAATCTTGTCGTGGCAGATAAACATCTGATATAGTGATTTTTGCTAAACCCGTTAAACTAAAACAATTACTTGTTTTGAAACGTGTAATTGTCGCCGGAATAGACACAAAAGAAGGCTTATGGACATTCAATAAACTTGAAACTTATAAATCAGTATTACGTATTGGTAAAGATTGTATCTCCACTAAAAGACGTTGAGTTTTATTGAATCCTGAAACAACCTTTGGGCTAATATAATTCAGGGCACGGCTAACTTACAGATTGAATTGGAATTTGGGGTGTTGAGTTTTGTGGAGAGAGGAAAATTGGAGAACCCAGATTGATGTACTTGTTTCGATCTTGGCTATGTTCTTATTAGGTTCACATTCAGTTAACAAATTCCACCGATCAAGACCAATTCAACGAAGAACTGAGGCAAATCCCCTACACTGGATTCACGACTAACATCCGTTTTGCATTACACGTCGTTGATACTCAAGTCTTTGGAGAAGGACGATCCTCCCGCCCCTACGTAACACGCATCGTCATCCTCCTCACAGATGGGCGCCAGACTCGACACCCAGAGGACGTATTCCAGACAGACCCAGTTCAGAATCTCCGAGATAAAGAAGTCAAACGGGTCGCTGTAGGGGTCGGGTGAAGCTATGATATGCAGGAACTAACGGAGATAGTCAATGCGAAGCAACATGTCATTATGGTGCGTGACTTCGTAGAACTTCAGTCATCTGTGTATCCTATATTTAACAGATTAAGTCAATTAGCCAGTAAGTGAAACACCAACACATTAGGTGGATTTGAATGTTGTTAATTAGTCGTTAGGGAGTAAACAGGCGGAGTAGAGTATCCAGATCTGTCAGTCTGGATTGAAAAGATAAGGGAACGTTGTGTTGGGAGACACGTAACTACTAAAACAGATTGCACATGCATGGAATACAGGCATCCTGACTTTTAATCTAAAGTAATGATCCAATTTAGGGACCCGATTTGATTGGTTTAGGTGCTGCGCCAGTACCGGTAAATAACCCCTCCTCCATTATAGACCTGTCGAAATGCTGCCCGGGGTGTCTATAATCAGTAAATTTATTTCTGCGACTTGACTTTTAGGTTTGGAGATTTTTTAAGTTTAAAATCCAGGATTTTACTTCCAGAGGTGGTTGGTACTGGATTATCCCACCCCTTCCCCTTCCCCCTCGGTTTCGTAAGACGACCTTATTCTTAGCCTATAGACCCCTTGTACTGAGTCCCTAGAGGAATTGTTCTTGGGGACAAGAATATGGATTTTTATCTTTTGCATAAGAAAAGACAGCCTATTGTTTTGTCCCCCAGAACACTCCTCTGTGCAAGGGGTCTTTATGTAACCTAATCCCTAATCAATCATACAATGATATCATACATAACCCTAGATTCAGGCCCAGGTACGAAGTAGGGGTGGGGAGGGGAGATGGTGTGAAGTGAAAGAGAGAAGAAGGTACCAAGAGAAATATCCTAAAGGTTTTTTTTCAGCCGTCAAAAAAGGTGACTACCCCGTTGCTATTACCCTCATTCTTGGATCTTCAAATATTCTCACCAAAAACAAATTTCAAAAGCTGAAAGAAACCATCAAATCCGTCAGCGTTAAATTTACCATCTCCCCCTTCCACACAACAGCAGGAGCAATCATCTTATCCAAGCATAAATCTATAATCATCAATCCTGGTCAATACACTACAAACCAAGACTTCAGTGATGCTGTTGATGATATTCCTTATATCAATGAGACACTAAGACTTGATGAAGCTATGTTGACAGCTACTGCACTATTGACAGAGAGTCAGGGAGAGTACACAAGACCAGAAGTACCAAACCTTGTTGTAGTATTAACCGATTTGTTTCGCAGACGTTCATCAGATTCGTTGTCTTTGAGCGATGCTGCTCGTCCACTCTTGAACAATGATGTACGAATCATAGCTGTTTGTATTGGAAATACAATAGATATGCAAAAGCTTGAGGCGGTTGTTATAGACAGAAAGAATGTTATTGTTAGTAGCTCGTACACGGAGCTGAGGTGGAGAACGGGACAGGTTGCTATGGCAGTATGTCAGAAGCTTGGTGAGTAAGAGATGTTGAGGAGCGGGGAAAGGGACAAAAATCGCGTGTTTAGGTAAAACTATATACCCCTGTGTGTTTAGAGTAGTCTATAAGATATCTTCAACGTCACCACCATTAAAGTCACAAATTCTACCAAACACCTTTGTCGTCTCTTTCACCTGTCAATACGACCACCACTATACCAATAATACAATAATACAATAACTGAAAACAACAATCAACAATCATTACCATTACTCCAATATTTATCAATTTACTATTATCTACTGTAAATAGCGCCATCTCAAAATCATCAAAAAGTAATTTTTTTATCTTGGAAAAAATGTTGGAAAGTTGAAATTGATCGCTTTGATATGATCAAGGATTCCAATCCATGTATTCAAAAAAAGTTTATTCATTTTTTTCTCTTTTACAGAAGTCAAACCTTGTGATAACGTTCTTGATGTTGGGTTTCTAGTTGACTCTTCAGTCAACATCAACCCATCACAACTGGATCAGGTCAAAACATTCATCAAGCTGCTCACTCAATCCTTTCCACTCAGCCGATCCCAGACCCGCGTGGGATTGATCCTCTATAGCACCAAACCATATCTTTTACTCACATACGAGGATGCTATAGACTCAAAAACGTTTGATAGCATCGTGGACAACCTGCCTTTGAAGGGTGGTATCAGTCGCCTGGACAACGCTTTGGATCTTGCCGCTGATGGTTTGATACAAGTTGTTAAAAAAGAAGCCGGATTTAGAATGCAGGTCCGCAAGGTTTTGGTAATGGTCATCGACGGTAGCCTAGTCTCTACTAATGAGATTCATAGCTTGGAAATATCTGCTGGTCCTTTACTAAGGGCAGGAGTCAGTATATTTAGTTGTGATCAGAGTGCTGTCTTCTGTATTAACAGACGTCCAGGGAAAGGTGTACTCTGTTGATACTTACAGTCATCTCCTGCAGAGAGTGCGCAGAATTTCTAAAGATATTTGCAATTGCGCAGGTATGTTTTTTAGTCTACTTATATCTTGGAGAAGGCGTTTCGCTATATATGTATGTAGCTTTTCCCAGATAGTTTTAATGGTCAATAATAGTTATTTCCAAGCTTAGTCCTGTTTTGATAAAGTGTTACTTTTCGTCACTAAAATCGTCATTGTCATTCTGATTCAATCTTTTGCTGGAATTGATTTTTCACTTTTTTTCCATTTTAGACCTTGTCTCATCCCATTGGGAATAAGTCTCCTTGTTCAAATTTCATTCATTTTGCCCATGTACCTTTTCGAGGGCTGAGTTTAACGATGGTCGTATTCATTGACTAAAGACGAGAACCTCGTCTGATACGAGTTTCTTCGTCATACTGTGAATACGGCCAATAAATGATCATCAAGGCAATGACCAATGGCTTGGAATAGAAAAAAAATCTGAAAAAAGGTTTTATAACTGCACAAACTGAATAACTCTAGTTGTAATTCCTATTTCCCATTTTGCTTTAGTGCTAAAAGACTCAGGGTAAAAAAAAAAGACTAAAATACTGAAATATCGTTTTTTTTTGTTGTTGTTGTTGCGTCAGATTTCCAGCCATGTGCTACAGTAGCTGACATCTGTTTCATGGTGGATTCATCTGGTAGCTGGAAAAATCTGGAAAATACAATTTTCAAAGAACGAAAGCGTTGATCAAAAAACTGGCAAAGACCTTTGAAATATCTCCTGAGGGCAGCCACGTTAGTGTCGTCACATTCCGTAGCCATGGAATAGTGAACATCAATTTAACAGACCACCTAAACTGGAATGACCTTGGAACATCTATAGATGAAATACGCTATATGGGATATACCACACGTATAGACCAAGCCTTGAAGCTTGCTTCACACGAGGTGTTTAGCATTCACGGTGGAATGAGACCGTTGTATCAGAGAATAGCGGTGCTTTTCACTGATGGTCGACAGTCGAGAACACCTGATTCTATCCCACTGTCTGATGCTGTAGAACCTCTGCGAAGACTAGCAGTTAATATCGTGGTTGTTGGTGTCGGTTTCAACGTGATTCACAATGAATTACAAACGATCGCATCTTCGCCGCGAAATATTTTACTTGTTGAGTCCTTTGATGACCTTCTGTTAAAAGGACGAAAACTGAGTAGGCTTGTTTGCCCAGATGACTACGAAGGAAATTAAAAACAGAATACAACATGTTTATAAAATAGCGATCATAGTGGCATCCTTCCGCTATTCTTCCTCTCAGGCACAGCGCAGACCTTCAAAAAAATATTTTCATAAAGCTATTATAGAATTTCTTATTTTGCTCCAGCTCGGACTTTGGTCGGACGCAAAGTAATTTTCGCGGATTTTCGTTGATATTGTGGATATTGATGGTTTACGTGGGTAACATGGTGTTTTAGGATATACTGTGTATTTTTGTGAGTTAGGTTTTAATCAAAAAGTAATTTTTGAGGGTTTTTGTTGGTATAATGGGTATTGATAGTGTATGTGGGTAATGGTGTTTCAGTGTACTGCGTATTCTTGTGGGTTAGCTTTCAATCAAAAAGTCATTTTTGCGAGTCTTTGTTTGTAATGTAGCATCATTTGACATTAATTGATGTATCAAGGTGTTTCAGGATGTGGTCTCAAGAATTAACAGTCATTTGGGCGGGTCTTTGTTGGTATTGTGTACCATAATATTGCAGGATATCCTGAAATTCTTGCTTAGGATTCTTTCTGTTGTGCAGTATTGCATCGGCTTTTAGTGTTGCAGGATGTGCTGCATATTCTTGGTTAAGTTTCTTTGTGTTGCAAGATATTACAAGATATTGCACCGTCGTTTTTGCCTTTGATGCTCAGGTGTCCTGAAACACTCAAGACGGCTAAGGCATTCACAAACTTCGAGAAAGGAATTTAAGGGTTCAAAGCCATTCGGTAAGAGACACCAAGCAAGCACAATATCACTCCACAGCCCATAAACAAACCTTAATCCCTCAATGACTTGACACATTAACAATTCTTATAAAGAGGATATCTATCACCAAAATGGAGACGAAAAACAACCAGGCCTACTCCAATGCTTCAACGTCATTGATGTAACAACAATATTCGAAAATACATGTAGAGAAAGTAAGCTTTTCTTGTTTCGTTTAACCTTGAGCAGGAAATAGAATATTTGACATTGTGACAACCTTCTTTGCATTATTGATTTGAGGTCGAACTTCTCAAGTGGAAGAAACCTGCATCTGTTGTTGTTTGAGAACCAGTAAATTGACCTAAAAGGGTACTCTTCACTCTTTTCCTTCGCATTACCGTCATAAAATGAATCCAGAAGCTAACTACGATGACTTTCTATCACTGACACGAAAAACAAAATGAGAATTCTAGGCAAAAATACTGTAATAAATCTCTCGACCAGAACGCCTGAAGTCCCCGCAATTTTAGAAAGAATATGTAGACATTTCCAAAATTATCTGTATGCGAGGCTAACAGGAAAATACAATTAAAAATCACAACTTTTCTCGATGGAATTTGCACCTTTTCTTTAGTATTTTTTCTGTTGGCCCGACAGGTCTATATATGATAGTGAAATACTGGATTCCAGAGTAAGCTAAAGACGACATTAGTAATCAAAGTGTGGGCAAATATATAAGTAACGTACTGATTAGCAGAATCAGTTGTAGCAACGTCAGATATGAGTATAGGCCAAGTGCATGTGCTATTTTCCAAGCATCTCCACAGCCTAATCCACAACAGCAAATCAATTTAGACAAGAAATGAAAGATATTTTCAATAGACAAAACATAACAGTTTTGAATGTACTTAGACAGATTCCTATCTGTCGCCATTAGTTTATACTGCTCTACATCTTTCTTGTCTTTTGGGGTCAACATTTTGTCATTCTCTGGCGTCGTCTTGATTTCTTACGTAAAATGGAAATCCTTACAATTCTTCAGTGATTTGTCATGTCAAATACTCCAAGAATCTTCATTGGAATCATTAATCCCAAAGAGTTTTTTCCTGATCTATCAATCTACATGACCTTCAATAAGGCGGTCTCTTTTCAGGCATATATAAAATTCTTTGCAGCTTCCATAAATGGTTTTAAAGTTTGCCTTTATATTTTGAGTGTCTCAAGTCTTTTAGAGCAGTTCCTGTAAAAGGAGCAAGCAGGTTCTGTAAGTGTTTCGGAAATTAAATTTAGAGTTCTCGTTCACTTTTCCCTAATATTTTTTACATTATATCTTTTTGCTTTTCTAATCTTTTTCATTCTTTACGATCAATATTTCTATCGCAAAGTTATTTCTGCTGTCGAACCCGCCCTTACGGATATCCGGACACTCCTATTACGGACACTTGTTTCTGGCACCCTGTTAAACCGAGCGGTCGCCTGGTGGTCGTATTATCAGGGTTCTACTTTAGCAATCCTTCGCGTTTAACTAGCAAAACTATTACTATGTTTTTTTAAATAATTAAATTAATATGCCAACCATTTTCACAGAAGTTCGTCACAAGTTGTTTTGCGTCACCAGGCAATCTCTGGTTGGCGGCATGAACTATAATAACAGAGGCTTATTTCACATGAAATATCGCTACCAGGTTCTTTGATGCACGCATTTTTAAGGTTTCAGTTGACTGTCGATGAGACCAGCCCAATTGAAGTATGTCTAATCTAAGGTATTTGAGCATCTCCTTTATCTTTACTAAAGATAGTGATCGTCATAAAATATTGTCATATGATCTTGAAGTCTCTTATACAACTTTTATAAATCTGTTATTGCTGATTTTTATCTCTAGAGTTATTTTAGTTCCAACCTTTCTTATCTCTCTTAAAATAAATATCTGCGACACCTTTCATCAAATTTAAGGAATTTTATTTTTGCTATTTTCTGACTTTTTTTTTCTTTGCCAGATAAAAAGTTTCAGTTCCACTCTCCAACACACGGAAAAGCAGGAAATGAAGATTTGGGAGTGAGGTTCAATCTATCTATATCTGTATCGAGCAAAAGTACAGCAAGATTACGAGAAAATTTGAACTTGGCATTCTTAGCATTTTAAGATTTTGTCCGGCAGGCTTAGAATTTCCTTTTACATAAAAATAGACCAAATGAACTCTCTCTATCATCTTTCGATGTCTGTCTTTTTGTCTTTTTTTCTCTGTATGCATCTCTCTCTCTCTCTCTCTCTCTCTCTCTCTCTCTCTCTTTCTTTG